AAGTTGAAGTCCACACATCTTCAAGCTGCCAAGGTTGAAAAACACTGGTTTAGAATGTCAAGTGTTGCTATGCTGACTTGGGTCTGGAGGACTCACCAACAGCAAATATCTGGATTCCCATATTCTTCAAAGTCTGGGCAGGTGGGTTGGCATCATCCTGAGACTTGCCATCAGTCAAAAGGATGAGCAGTTTAGAAGCTTCAGGCCTAGCACCAGCTTCTGCCTTCAGGTTGTGCTCGAGGACATGAGTAAGCGCTAATCCTTGGATGGAAAAGAAGGGAAGAAAGAATTACAGCTAGAAAGGTTCAGAGAAGAGGAATGAGATGCAATGAGGCCCCGATTTCTCCCTTTGCCTAAATATGGGCAAAAGTGGCTTTCACCTTCTGCCGCTTTTCTGTAAAGGGAGGCTGTCTATAATCATAGCAAAATCCATTACAGACAGTCCTCTACTTATAAACTGTTGAGTTATAAACTCTCGCTGATACGACAAACCTCCAACAACTCCAGTAATGAAGGTCCTGGAAGTTTACAACACATATGCAGTGCACCATGGTTGGACTTATGAACAAAATGGACTTATGAACAGCCTCTTGGAACGTAACCTGTTCATAAGTAGAGAACTGTCTGTATACACAAAAGACTTAATTTATAGGGATTTCAGTGGCTGATGAATGGCAAAAGTCAAGGGAAATCTTAAGTGGAGATTTTTAGAAAAGCAATTAAAATGTGGGGAATACTAATAAATAACAATACTAATAAGTAAAAACAATAATATAATATAATATACTACTAATAGTATTTGGACCAATTATCAAAGACCTCGCTCTCTGGAGAAGGCTCTAATGCTTGGAAAGGTGGAAGGAAAGAGAAGAGGACAACCATCAACAAGGCGGATGGACTCAGTTACGGTGGCAATGGCACCTTTGGAAGACCTGAAGGACCCGGCTGGGAACAGGTCATCATGGAGAAAATATATCTACGTGGTCGCTAAGAGTCGACAATGACTTGATGGCACCTAATCAATCAATCAATCAATCAATCAATCAATCAATCAATGATAAAGGACCATTTCATGTTTGTAATGGTAGAAATTTCAAGATCCCTGCCTAGAAATGTATTTGTTTCGCAGCTCATCCCCTTTTTAATTCCACTCTCACAAGCCAGTTTTCCTGCTCATGTTCTGCAAAAGTTCTCAACATGACACAGCTAAGGATTTTTACTGTATGTTAGTATCTAGTGTATTGTATGTTGCAAGGTATGCCACTTTATGCTGACGATGGCCATTTGTCCACATGTGGTGGGGATGCTTCTTATACCAGCAGCAATACAAATTTTACTCTTTCTCCTGCTTCTTTCACGGTGAAACAGATATTTTGCATTATGTTTCTGCCTTGGAGCTAAATAATGGTTGGTTGTTGACATAACTGACATTTCTGCCCTGAGAAACTCAAGCTCCTGAAGTATCTCCTGATGTATCTCCACCCTGGAATCTGGGAGGGCAGAGATGCATAATGGGCCACTCCAACCCTACCAACATTTGCATATGGCCTCTAGACCTACTTCCCAAAACTACTACCCAGGTTTGGCCACATCACATTTTAATTTGCATTAAAGTTTGCCTAACCCTGGAGACTTCATTTCAACACATCTTATGGAGAGCAGGGGTTGATTTTCTGCAAAACAGCCACACAAAAACTTGTACCCTGGGTGATGGTTCCCACTCATTGGCTGGGCTAGCTTTCAAATCAGTGTCCAAATTAATACCTTTGGTTCTTTGGTTAGATTTATACCTCCAGGTACTCACAGAAGCATGTATAGTATTCTTCCCTCCATTTTTTTTTTCTAACAGCAAAAGTAGGTTGGGCTGATTGGTCTAAAATCCCCCAGGGAGCATTTGTGGCTGAGAGGGGACTAGAATCTGGGTCTCCCTAGTCCAAATCGAACAACAACTCTGTTAGGTAGGTTGGGGTGGGAGAGAATGATGGCCCAAAGCCCCTCATGAGTCTCTGTGGCTGGGAGGAAGGACCAGAACTTGAGTCTCCCCACTCCTAGTCCAGCACCTTCACCACTAGACCAGGCTGCCTCTTGGACAGAGAGGGAGGGACCGGCCCAAAGTTCTCAAGTAGTTTCTGTTACTGAAGGAGGGCAAAAACCTGGGTCTCCCACTCTTAGACCAGGACTGTCACCATTAGACCATCCTGTCTCTTGGGTTGGGAGAGAATGACTTGGCCAAAGTCCCCCAGGAGCTTCAGTTGCTAAGATCATGCTGAAACTCAGGTCTCCCTCTTCCTACTCCAGCACCTTCAACACGACCCCACACTAGTCTTCCATGGGAAAAGTCCACGTACTCCTTCAGAGAGCTCAGGAAATCCATTTTACCTGTGAAGGTGTTCCCTCCCTTGTAGCGCAAATTCCTAATGGCTTCAGACACCTGGTCCCAGGTGGAATAGGTATTGAGGTCCCATTCTGTCCGTGGGTCGCTGCTGTACTGGGACAAGCCTGGAAGAAACACCCATGAGAAGTAGTCAGGAAGGAAGTTGGGGCATCCATGGAGAATGTAAAAAAAGAACCAGCAGCCTTCTCTGGAACAGGATCCCACCTGAGATGCATATGGCACCCACCCTCCATTTGTTCTGGAAGTCTTTGAAAACTTTTCTCCCAGCCCTACACCTTCTCCATTGTTGCATCCTTTTCTTGAGACGCGAGCTGCCTCCAAACCCAATTAAATCCAACAAATGTCAAGATGGCAATTGCATGTAAAAAAAAAAAAAAATGGTGGGGCTTCAATCCTGCAGTTGCAGCTACCATCTTGACTTTTTTGACCCCACCATCCCCCACATATCCATCTGAAAGAAAGTTTAAGAAAAGCCAAGGGCTTGGATGGGGTCGCATTGGCATGATCAAGGCCCTGCCCCCTTTTTACAGGTGTTGTGACACGTGTGAGAAAGGGGTGAGGCTTCAGTTACATCATCTTGACTTTTTGAGTCACCCTTCCCCCCCCCCTCCCCCAGTCCTCCAGGCTGGCCTCTCACTGCACAAATATGACCAATTTTCAGGTCTGATAAAAAATGATAAATTTTTGTA